AAAAAAAAAAAAAAAATAAAAAAAACTTAGATGGAAAAAAAAAGTTCAGTGCCAGGGTTAGGGTTTGGGTCAAGGTCAAATTTTAAAAATTAAATTGGTAATAAAGTGTCAAAATTATGTCAATGTCAAAAAAAAAATCAGTAAAGTGGGTTTATTTAAAAAATAAAAAAAAAAATAAAAGTCCAAAATCAAACCCTTAAAAATAGAAACCAATCAGCTTCCAGGTTTAAAATTGCCAAAGCTTCATTGAAAAAAAATAAAAAAAAAAAAGCTGATTGGTTTCTATGCAGAAAAAAGTTGATTTTTAACTCTCCAGCTTTAGTAAATAAATAAAAGTGTGTTTTAGGTAAAAAAAAAAAAAAAAAAACAAAAAAAAACCGTGGTTTCCATCTAAAAAAAAAAAAAATAAAAAAAAAAAAAAAAAAAAATACACATATATGGTATCGCTGATAAATCGTCAAAAAGCTGGAAACTAAAAAAATTTTTAAAAATTGTTGTTCTAAAAACAAAAAAAAATGGTAATAAAAAAAAAACACATAAAAAAGAAAAATTATTTTTTTTTTTACTATTTCGGGCTACTTTTTCTTTGATAAAAAAAAAAATCAGGAGCTAAAAATTACCATTTACCAAAAAAAAAAAAAGCCCCAAAAAACGCAAATAAAAATCCACCCGGATGTACAAAGTAGTTGTAATGATATGGTAAAATTTTACTATCACACGCCAAAACGTTGCAGAATTGTGCTTAGGCATTTAGATTTTGTTTGAACCTTTAGGTGTAACCATTATAAAATCGTTCATTGAAAAAAAACAAAAAAAAAAATTGATATGCGGCAAAATTTAAAAAGCAAAAGACAGTATACAAAAAATAAAATAATAAAATAATTAAAAAAAAAGCTCATTCTGTGAATAAAACGTCGGCGTCAAAAATTAAATTTAAAATACATAAAATGCAGCAAAAAATGAATAAAAAATATGAAAAAAATAAAAAAAATTCGCACAAAAAATAATGCAAATAAAAATATCAGTTAAAAAAAAAAAAAAGGCTTACTAAAAAAAAAAAAAAAATAAAAACACTTTAAATCCAAACCCTGTTTTCTGATTGGATATGCGTTAATTAAAAGCGCCTTTAATAAAAACAAATTTCACTTTGTTTCCTCCTTTTCTAAATTCCTTGTTTCTTTGTTTCTAAGTCAGTGGAAAAAAGAGTGTAGAATTGTTCCATCCACAAATGCAGTCTGCATGAAAGACTCCACACCGAGCTCTATGGTGGGTCAGGGGCGGACTGACAACTCATGGGGCCCCCAGGCAATAGGGGATCATGGGGCCCCTGTGTCCTTGCCCAAACTCAAAAAAGCCTATTAAAAAGGTACCAGGGGCATCTCATGGGGCCCCCTACTGACCCTTGTTTGGAAACAAAAATCACTTCACTGTCTGTTCCATCCACACCGTATATATGGGGCCCCATTCACACCTCCGCGTTTTGTAGCGCAAAAATCAAAGCTTCAGAACGCTCAGGGGAAAAAAAAAATCAAATATTATTCTATGGAGATGGCTCACATCTCCGCTCCAAGTCGCTTAAAAAAAAAAAAGTTTTGGAGCTGCTCAATTTGGGCAGATGTGCATGTTTTTGGTGCATTTTTTATTCCCATAAAAAAAAAAATAGAAACGCACGATTGCTGCGTTTGTGCATTTTGTGCAATTTTCTGATCAGATAAAAACATGCCAAATAAAAAACAGTAATAGTATATGAATAAAATAAAAAAAAAATAAATAAAATACACATAGAAATAAAAAAAATCAAAATAATAAATCAAAATAAATAATAAATAACCCCCTAACCTTAAAAAAAAGGAAAATTATTATTATTATTAAAAAACAATAATAATACAATTAATAATATTAAAAAAAAAAAAAATACGTTATTATTAATAAAAAAATAATAACAATAAAATATTTTTACAATTATCTTATTACTTTTTTAGATTTTGGGGTTAAGGTTATGGTGGGTTAATTATTATTATTAAATATACTAATTTGCTATTACAAGTATTTAATTTGTGGTTAATTTGTATTTATTTGTGTATTTATTTTACATTTTTTTTAATTCATTTATTATTATTAATTAATAATAATAATAATAATAATGTATTTTTTGTTTGGGTTTAGATGTTTTAGGTTTAGGTGTTTATTATTGTTATTATTATTAATAATAATAATAATAATAATAATTACAATATTAAATACCATAAATAATAATAAACACCTGAAAAAAAATAAATTGTTATTAATAAAAATACTAATAATAATAATAATAATAATAAAATAATAATAATAATAATAACAACATATTTTTACAATTGTCTTATTACTTTTTTAGATTTTGGGGTTAAGGTTATGGTGGGTAAATTATTATTATTAATATACTAATTTGCTATTACAAGTATTTATTTGTGGTTATTTTTATTTATTTGTGTATTTATTTTACATTTTTTTTATTCTATTATTATTAATATTATTAATAATAACAATAATAATAATAAATTTTTTTGTTTGGGTTTAGATATTTAGGTTTAGGTGTTTATTAATAATAATAATAATAATAAATAATAATAACAACAATATTAAAACTATTTATATTAAACACCCGAACAAAAATACGTTATTATTAATAATAATAATAATAATAATAATAATAACAATAAAATATATTTTTACAATTATCTTATTACTTTTTTAGATTTTGGGGTTAAGGTTATGGTGGGTTAATTATTATTATTAATATACTAATTTGCTATTTACAAGTATTTATTTTTGGTTATTTTTATTTATTTGTGTATTTATTTTACATTTTGTTCATTCATTTGTTATTATTATTATTTTTATTAATAATAATAATGTATTTTTTTGTTTGGGTTTAGATGTTTAGGTTTAGGTGTTTATTATTATTATTATTAACAATAATAATAATAATAATCATCATCATATTAAATAATAATAATAATATTAATAATTTGTTATATTTTTCAAGGGTTAGGGGTAATTATTTATTTATTAATAACTTGTATTTATTTATGATTTCTTTTTTACTTATATATTTATTTTACATTTATTCATTTTATTATTATTATTATTATTATTATTACCCTTAAAAAAATAAAATAAATACATAAATAATGAGAAAATAATAAGTAAAATATTATAAATAAAATAAGAAATAAATCATAAAAAAATAATAAATAAAATACTAAGCCTAACCCAATCTTAACCCTAAGCTAACTTTAACCCTTTACCCTAATAAATAAACTAAATAATAAAAAAGGAACAAGAATAAATAATAATAATAATAATGATAATAATAATAAAAACTAAAGCTGATGGAAAAACTGAAAAAAAAGAAAAAACCTAGCAACAAATGATGCAACAGATGATATTTTTCTCTATTGCCAAACTTCAAAAACGTGCCGGACAAAACGCAGAAAAAGCGATACGATCAGATCTGAATGGAGCTTAACGCAAACAAAATGTAAAACAAAGGGGTTGATTTACTAAAGGCAAATAGACTGCGCACTTTGCAAGTGCAGCTGCTCCAGAGCTTAGTAAATGAACTAAAGCTCCACTTTGCAAAGAATACCCAATCACACGCAAGGAAATTAAAATAAATTTTTTTTTTCCTGGCACACGATTGGATGATGCACGTCGTCACGGCGGTCACATGATCGGGAAAGGTCCCGATCGAAAGAGCAGACCGGGACCTTTCCGTGAGTACCGGACATGTGTGCTGGGAGCGCGCGCTCTCAGAACATATGTTTTTTCTTACCTGAACGCAAATGTGCGGCCTCTCGGCGTCTAGGCCCAGACGCTGGGAGGCTGCACATTTGTGTGCGGCCGGCATATAAAAGGGGTTAAAGTGGACCCGCGGATGTAAAGATACCCTGACATTAAACTACCTTTTCCTGAGCTGTACCATTTAAGAGGGACTCCGGACAGACCTCCGTGTGATTAAATACATTGCGCATTTTCCTTGCGCATCTGGTCATAAATTTCTGCCAAAATGTATTCTGCGACATGTCTTTGCTAAAAAAAACCCAATACGTGTAAATTAATTGGTTTACGTGAAAGTTATAGCGTTTACAAATGGCGGGAAAGATACTGGGATTTTTAGGTTTTTTTTTATACTAATAATGGCGGCGATCAGCGAATTATGGCGGCGATCAGAGACTTATGGCAGGACTGCGGGACTGCGGCGGACATTCTGACATTGGGGGGTACTGACTTGGGGTCACTGACATCCCCAGTGACACCAATACAGTGATCAGTGCAAAAAAAAAAACACTGACACTGTACTAATGGCAATGGGGAGGAAGGGGTTAACTTTATTATTCAGGGAAAGGGTTAACTGTGTGAGGGGGGGTGTTTTACTAGGGGGCGGGGGGGGGTGTACTGCACGGGACACCGCTGATCGGGAGAGAGAAACTCTTCTGTCCCGATCAGCATGTCCTGGAGCTGTCAGGGAACTGACAGAAAGCACAGCTACTGCAGCCCTGCCCTCTGTCAGCGATTGCCGCCGATCGCCGGGACACAGCCGGTAATGTCCGGCTGTGACCCGGCGACTGACATCCGCTGCTGTGATCGGCGGGACAGGTAGGGCTTCGGCGCGCCTCGCGTGCGCCCCCTACCTGTTTACAAAACACACGTTTTAAAACGTGGTTTTGCCCAGCCGTGCCGCCCTGCCGCCGTATTTCTACAGTGGCTGGGCACATGTGGTTAATATAAGAATAGACAAAATAGCATATAGAGCATATACAGCTACAAAGCACAATCAGAACACAGACATGACATGTTGCCTCCCGTTTCGCAGACGGGACTTATTGTAAACTGTAATACAAAGCAATGTAGGGTAGAACAATACATCAAGCATACAATGCTAACCAATGGATACATAGAGGAAAGTAGGTACAACGATGTAGGTGTATGTCGTCACGTCTCGAGTATCAGCAATTCTTAACCCCCCTGGCGGTATTCCTGAGTGTAGCTCGGGGTAAAGTTTCAGCACCACAAGCGGTAACCCCGAGCTACACTCAGGAATACACTGCAGCGTTGCTCAGGGATCTCTTCTTCTCTTACCTTGTCCTGCGCTCCCGCGATGTCCCCCTTGCAGTGTCCCCGGCAATGCCTTCTGGCTGATGCCGGCATCCGTCTTCCGGGTTCCGTCCCCTGCGACTTCAGGACGTACGGGGGGGGACGGAACTGGTGGGAAATTTGAAAATGACAAAAAGTGACATTTACTGAATACACTAAAATCACACAGTATAACATTCCTGTATCAAACCATTTCACATACATTTTGTCCCGAGTGCTTTGTCCGGCGCCCTGCCTGCATTTTTACTGTTCTTTCTGCCTGGAAACTGAGAAACGTCCATGGCGTCCAAAAAGCGTCCCTTTAGGTGAAAAGCGGTTTTAGATCAGCTAGAGAACAGCGATAGTAAATCAGAACCACTTGCAGAATTGAGTGATAATGATTCGTGGGGGAAATTCCTCATCAGACACTGAAAACGATTCTGCGACTTTGCTCAGTGATGTGCGAACTTGGCGCTCTATTTCACATTTCAGTGTTTTTGGTTTGATTATATTATTGAATTAAATTTATTATTCTTATATTATTATTTTTTATGATTATTTATTAAATTATAATTTATGATTTCGTGTTTCACATTTTATCATCCCGGGATGTTTACTAGACTCTTGTTCGGACAGATTTCAGTGAGTTATTCCTAAAAATTACAGGCCTACAATAAAGAAAATACATATTTCCATGCAAAAAATGTACCGCTTTGAGCACAGAAATATGGACATAATCAGACCGCTGGGGAGGTTAATGATGAGGTGATATGAAGATTCGAGCATGGAAGGCATTAGATGTGACAGTCATGGTTTACGTGTTTATAGCTTGAGTGTATTATATAGTTAAAGTTAGTCATATCTGTGTGAATTCTCTATTTTGGTTGGTGAAGAATGACTGAGAAGGTGGTATGACAGGTGTGAAAAAAGAAAGAAGTCTGAACGAAGAACGGTAAAAAAAAGAGATGTAGGATGAGATGGTAGGTGGGATAGGGGGAAGGAGAAAAGAAAAAAAAAATGTTTTAATATGGGGGGGGGGGGGGGGGGGAGTAATGGGTTGAGTGACAGTAGCATATATAGGTAAGAAAAAGTTAAAATGGATCACCTCCCCAAATATTAGCCGAGCCAGAGCGGTAATATTAAAGCTTAGAATATGGTACGTGTAAGATCGGAGAGCGGGGTAACATGTGGATCAGAAACTCCGTAAAGCAGATCATGATATAACTCCACAGCCCATCCTTACATGTGATATAAATGTCCTCGGTGATCCGTGTATTCCCCGTGTATACAGCATTGTATTGGGACATTTAGTCCGGGGATATAGATTGATCATTCACTATTAGGTGATAGGTAGAAGTGGATTTGAAATGACTCCAGCATGCCCATGTTTTCCGAAATCTCTCGGGATGTTCCTTAGCTATAGAGATCAGTTCCTCCATTTCCTCAGTTTTGTCGATCGTCCTGTTTTATGATATACAGGCAGCAAACGCAGCTTCTTGGCAATGATTGGCTGCCGTGGGGCCAAGGTGCGCGACCGTTTTTTACGGCCAGGTTAGCTGCGGACAATCTTCAGCTCGCTATTTCTCCAATGCCCCAAAAGCTGTGAATTCCATTAAAAGTCAAGAAATGCGAACGGATTATTGGCAAACTGCTAAAATGTTTTACAGCAGCCATGCACTTGGACCGAGCCGCCTGTATACTTCCAGCCTGTCGTAGGGTCATTGGTACATTATCGAATTTCATGTATTTATGGCACTAGATGTGTTACTTCACTTAAACCCAAAACCAAAAATGTAAATATATCGTAGTGTACCGGTCATCAGATGTGGCAACTGCATTCGTTTTCTTCTTTCAAGACTTTTTCCCCCCTCTGTTATCAACTGGTGATCTGGCCAGAAACACACCTTCTGCATTAGTGTGCCCCCCCCCCCTCCCACACACACACACACACACACTCTGGAGGAAGGAGCACAGGGTGCACCTTTGGATAGCAGCATTGTCAGTCTTCGGCGAAGGGAGTGTTAGTGTAACTAAATCTGCTAGTACATCTATCAAATTGAAGCAAAACTCCAGCTCTATAAACAGGTATAACAAAAAAAGTGATATAACGTCCAAATGAGAAGACATATGATATGGAGATCTTGTAGAGTCCCTATTTATGGTAGGAATATGTGATCCAGAGGTGGTACATAATGAATAGAGTGCGCACTCACCAGAAGTGCGTATTAGATACGCATTAGGAAAAACTCCTGTATGGAGGACACTGAATGGAGGCAAGTGGAGGGATTGGCAGAGAGGGGTGGAGGACACTGAGTGGAGGCCAGTGGAGGGATTGGCAGAGAGGGGTGGAGGACACTGAATGGGGGCCAGTGGAGGGATTGCAGCAGAGGGATGGAGGACACTGAATGGAGACCAGTGGGGGGATTGGCAGAGAGGGGTGGAGGACACTGAGTGGAGGCCAGTGGAGGGATTGGCAGAGAGGGGTGGAGGACACTGAGTGGAGACCAGTGGAGGGATTGGCAGAGAGGGGTGGAGGACACTGAATGGGGGCCAGTGGAGGGATTGGCAGAGAGGGATGGAGGACACTGAATGGGGGCCAGTGGAGGGATTGGCAGAGAGGGGTGGAGGACACTGAATGGGGGCCAGTAAGGGATTGGCAGAGAGGGGTGGAGGACACTGAATGGGGGCCAGTGGAGGGATTGGCAGAGAGGGATGGAGGACACTGAATGGAGACCAATGGAGGGATTGGCAGAGAGGGGTGGAGGACACTGAGTGGAGACCAGTGGAGGGATTGGCAGAGAGGGGTGGAGGACACTGAATGGGGGCCAGTAGAGGGATTGGCAGAGAGGGGTGGAGGACACTGAGTGGGGGCCAGTGGAGGGATTGGCAGAGAGGGGTGGAGGACACTGAATGGGGGCCAGTGGAGGGATTGGCAGAGAGGGGTGGAGGACACTGAATGGGGGCCAGTGGAGGGATTGGCAGAGAGGGGTGGAGGACACTGAGTGGAGACCAGTGGGGGGATTGGCAGAGATTTGTGATGCGTACAAAAATATACTTCCTGCCACATTCAGCACCGAACGTGGCCCATTGAAGTGAATTGGTGTAGACGACAGTATCGCCTCTGAAAGCCTGTCAGCCACACTCTGAAAAGTGATCCACTGTGGCTTTTCAGAAAAAAATGCAGGTGTACACCGAGCCTAATTTCCATTCACTGCCAATATCATCGCTGCAGTTCCATTGACAGTGGCAGTGGTGTCGGGTCTCCACCAGACTCTCCACTTGGCCATATGGGTTGCATTTTGAGAATGGCCAAGTGGAGGGGGCTGAAAACGTGACAACAGTGCCGCTGTCTAGGGTGACTACAGTGCTGATCCCCGCAGGGAGCTGGAAGAACAGCGAGAGGTGTAGTATCTGGAAGAACTGAAGAACTGAAAAAAAAAAAACCCTTTTTAAACTGTTAAAATAAACAAAACCAAATGCACATTACTGCAAAGCTAAAGAGTAAAGAGCTACTTACACATCCTAATGCAGTGAAATTATTCCACCCGAATCGAGCAATAAATTGGTGGTATTTTGTATCTATAATCTTCTCATACAATGCACAGATAGAATAAAAAATATATAGTTTTACAATATATCTCGATAAACATAAAATAAAAAGAAACAATGTATACATTTACAGCATATACAGTAACATAGTAGTGATAGGCTACGAGAAAATGGTGCCGGGCCGAAAGTGCCCGGCCTGGCAGACTGATAGCTAACATTCCTATCCATACAGCGCCCCCTGCCCGTCCTGCAGCTAATTGTAGCCCGCACCTGAAAAGCGTTGGACATGTATCCCGCACTATGCTTTCACACACTGGGGGTTATGTACTAAAACTGGAGAGTTCAAAATCTGGTGCAGCTCTGAAACCTTTCAGATTCCAGGTTTTGTTGTCAAAGTTTAAATTGATATTAAAGGCTGAAGGTTTTTTTTTACCTTCATACATTCTATGCGTGAAGGTAAAATCCTTGATATTAGAACTGTACTGTATACAATATTACAGATGATGTGTCCTTGTTACTGCAAACAGCTCGTTAGAGTTTTTACATGGCGATAGATAAGGTATAGACCAGGCTTTTCCCATTTTTTCAACACAGAGGAACACTTGAAATAACTTTCCGGTCTCAGGGAACCCCTGCTAAAAATGACTATATCTACAACTCATGGTGCCTTAGTGTGATGGTCAGTGGGAAGAATGCTCCTTAAACTTGTGGTCATTGGGAAGAATTACCCCCTTACAGATTGCTAAAAAGATCAATGGTGTCAGAGGGAACTTATCTGAGAGGCAGAAACTGCTCTTTGCTCAAGGAACCCCTAAGCAACCTTTGGAGGAACTCTCAAATAACCCCTAGCAACCTCTGATGGAACCATCAAGGAACCCCTAGCAACCTATGGAGGACCCCTTAAAGAACCCCTAGCAACCTCTGATGGAACCATCAAGGAACCCCTAGCAACCTATGTAGGAACCCTTAAAGAACCCCTAGCAACCTCTGATGGAACCATCAAGGAACCCCTAGCAACCTATGGAGGAACCCTTAAAGAACCCCTAGCAACCTCCGAAGGAACCCCTATCAACCTCTGGAGAAACCCTTAAAGAAACCCCAAGCAACCTGTGAAGGAGCCCTCAAGGAACCCCTAGCAACCTCTGGAGGAACCCTTAAAGAAACCCCTAGCAACCTCTGAAGGATCCCTCAAGGAACCCCTAGCAACCTCTGGAGAAACCCTTAAAGAAACCCTAGCAACCTCTGATGGAACCCCCACGGAACCCCTAGCAACCTATGGAGGAACCCTTAAAGAACTCCTAGCAACCTCTGAAGGAACCCTCAAGGAACCCCTAGCAACCTCTCGAGAAACCCTTAAAGAAACCCTAAGCAACCTCTGAAGGAGCCCTCAAGGAACCCCTAGCAACCTCTGGAGGAAACCTTAAAGAAACCCCTAGCAACCTCTGAAGGAGCCCTCAAGGAACCCCTAGCAACCTCTGGAGAAACCCTTAAAGAAACCCCAAGCAACCTCTGAAGGAACCCCCACGGAACCCCTAGCAACCTATGGAGGAACCCTTAAAGATCCCTAGCAACCCCTGAAGGAACTGTCAAGGAACCCCTAGCAGCCTATAGAGGAATCCTTAAAGATCCCTAGCAACCCCTGAAGGAACCCTCAAGGAACCCCTAGCAACCTATGG